CACCTGTGAACGATTTTGCGTTCAGGCTGCGTATGACGTCAATCGTTGAACACTACCCTGGCGTTTAAACGAAGAATTGCGACTTAAAGGTGCGTTTAAATTCGATTTTGAGGATTGCATAAAAATAATGGATGGAAAATCTTTGAAAAATATATTCATTATTGTTTCAAGACTATATTTCATTATGTTTACATAGTATGTGAGCTTTGTTAATTTAGTTAATTTGTAATCTGTTTAGATAGGTAGGGGTAGCTATTAATAACTATTTTATAATATGATGACTTCAACTCTGTAAAATGAGTTTCACCGTGAATAAATAAATAAATAAATAAATAATAATAATAATAATAATATTAATAGTAAAATATTAAAATTATAAAATTCTACCTTGATTAAAGTTATTATAGTTAATAACAAAAATTTGTATAAATAATATTAAAAACAAACAAAATCAATCGAATGAGTAAATAGACACAGAAGTAATAATAACACAGAAGAATGTATATTTACAACATAAAAAAACACAAACAACTCTAATTGGCCTGATGATTACTCATTAAAGCTAGATATTTTGGTGAAACACTTCTAAGTGCTGTGTGCTGAGATCTCCAAAAGTATCTCGCTGACTTTCGCCTTACACTTACAAACACTAACACTTCAAGTATGTTTCGAAGTGCATTAAATGAGCTTAATAACCGTAATTATAATGGTCTTTTTGGTTAAAGTTAATTGATGTTAATTAATTATTGTTATAAAAAAATTGATGTTACTCAAAAAAAACACAAAAACCCAAAGGAAAAATCCAAAAAGGCACCCGAAACATACAAAAATCCAAATGCTTGTCAATCCTTTTGATTTTACAAAATACTTAAGACTAAAATATTTGACTATTAAAATTAAGACAAAATTTGAGTCCTTTTTGCTGTAGGTAATACTGTAATACTGATCATGTGAGAGTAATGTATTTGTTACTTTCGAAAGTCGATGAAATCGAATTTTTCGAAAGTATCTATAAAAATTTTATATCTCGGTAACGGTAGGTAACGGTAGGTCCTATTGGATCGCCGTTGGTACAGAAATGATCACCGTCGAAAAAAAATGTTTTTTTGTCTGTCCGTTCTTCGTTCTGGTATGTTGGTTTTTCCTGAATAACTTTCGAACCATTAGAGCTACACAATTGAAATTTGCCTCCTTTTTAACCCTCCACGAGATACATTAACTTGTAAGAAATGACCTCGGCCCGACGCTGGCATCCATCTTTTTTTCGCGATTTTCCACTGTTTTTTGAACATTGAAACACGATGTGTCCGAAATTTGAAGCAATCGACTTCATATTTGGCACACATTTTGCCCTGTGACGGAACCTATTGAAAATGCGGGGGCTGGGGGGTCGGGAAGTTATTAAAAAAAAATAAAAAGACCATTTTTCAAAAACCGTTTACAAGACCGAAAAAATTCTTAAACCAGGAAAAGCAGAGGATACGGCTTCATAAACTTTTATTATCGACAATTTTTCAAAAATATACAGGGTGCGCCGCAAATTCAAAAAAACCGAAAAATGGGCCCCCCTATTATTGAAAATTGGTTGTAACTTAAAGACTGTGAATCAGATCTCGCTTTCTCTTATATTGCGATATAACCCGTATGGGCAGCAAAAACTTTTGTATTTAAGGTTTTCACCTATTGTACAAGGTGTTCCTGATATTCTATGCCAAATAAGAAACGTGTAAAGTGTCCTAAATTTGTAAATATCAACTTCAAATTTAGCCCCCTATTATTGAAAATTGGCAATAATTTAAAACTTGTGTTTTAGATGTCAGTTTCTTTTACATGGCAATATAGCCCATATTGACAGCTAAAACTTTTGTGTTTAAGGTTTTCGCAATATTCCGTGCAATATTAAAAAACTTGGGAGAGAAGTAGAAGTCTGGACCAGCATTTAGACTCTTTAAATTGGGAGCAATAAAATAACGCGAAGTATTTTTTTTTATTTTTGAATCATTTTTTTGGTTATTTTATCATCCAGAAAAACATCTTTTCCTCCAAAACCATTCATCCGTAATACGTGGGAGACCCGGCGCTATAACTATTGTTTCACGCATTTTTTCGATTATATACAAGGTGTTTTAGTTATGGACAAAAATCTAAAAGACCCTTAATATTATTCTTTTACAGATTAAATTATTAACCGTAAATCAAAATTCGTACCGTTTAAGGGCTACAATTTTTGTATTTACGGTTTTCGTGTATCCCATACGCAGATATTTGAAAAAGTCCGAATGAGTAACAGCAATTCTCGCCATCAATCTAGATGCGATGACGTCATTTACTATTACCACGTACTGCATGGTTGCAGAAAACAAGTAGTTTCGTGAAAACTATTTAATCCATTGGAAAAATTCCTATACCAGGAAACACCAGGAACATTGTTGGAATTATTTACTGGATACAGCGTATGCGGGCAAAAAATTCTAATAGATTCTAGAAATTTCCGGTTTTGTGGGTGAATTCTTGTCGATAAATAAAAAACTTTTAAAGATATGATAATTTGACATGAATAGTATCGTAAACTGTGTCGAGAGAGAGTTTAAGGTTGCGTTTATAATACAGGGTGCGCGAGAAATTTGAAAAAAACATAATTTTAAATTTCAATTACCAGTACAAATTATAATATTTACTGAAGTTTGGCGCAACTTTGAAGTTCGACGAGATGTGAAGGACGCTTTATCAGGATGTATTCACAATAAGATGACATCGATTTTGCGAAAGTTCCCTAGCGGTCCGCAGGAGCACGATAGAAAAACAATGAGTCCCTCTAGGATAGAAATAAGCGAAGCGCCTTCTTTTTAAATAAAAAGCTGATTCGCGCTACTTGCGATGAACTTGCCCAGTCCTGCGACGATTTTTCGAAAGCAATCTTGTTACTAATGTGTTGTCGACATTTGCTGATCATGTGCTTACCGCTTAGGTATATAACCAACCAGATAAATCTATTTTCAAATAATACAGTTCGAATATTTATAACTCTAATGATTTTTGATCTGAATAAAGATGTTCTTGCGTTGCAAAGACAAAAATTTTGTTAGATACATACCGGGTTACTAAAACGTGCCGGAACGCTGAAATATCTCCAGTGCTGCTAAAACTTGAGGATCAAATTTAGTACCTGGGAATTCCAGAATTCATATATGTGCAGTTTTTAATAGTTCCTCTTTATTATTTCTATTTTGGAGATTATAGTGGTTTTCTGTTCATGAGTTCAGTCAGTATTATAGAAAATATCTGTAGATATTCAAAAAGCTTTGTCTTTTTCATTGGATCTGCGCAAAAAGCTATACAAGTTTACGTTTTCTTTAAGTTATAAAATAAAGGAGATATAAAAGATGCTTTAATATACAGAATTTTAAAAAACGCCATGTATCTCTGATCGCATCATTTCCCCTTAAACAAGGAGTTATTATGAGATACCTTACTAAAAGTGTGGAATTGGTATACATACAAAAGTTAATTGGGTAATTACAAATCTTCAATTTGTTTGAATGTTGTATATACAGGATGTTTAATTTTTCGTGAGCAAGTATCATTTTTTTAATTTTAAATGGAACACTTGGTATATTACTTAATTTTTTAATTCTATACAAAATTCTAGGCATATTTTGTGTATCACTTGCTATACCCAAGTCGAACCGTTTTTGACATTTTTAATTTTTTATGTGAAAAATGACGTTTGCAAGACATAAAATATCTGCCCATTTCAATATTCAGAAGCATTTATTGTTTTAATTGAGTAAGTTCTGTTGTAGACAATGGACTCCAATAACTAATATAAATAAAAATAAAAAACTGCCAAAAAACTTTTTTTTTAATGGAAACTACCGATTTTTATAATCTTGTCATATTTAGCATTAAAAATGAAGGCAATTTTTTATAAGGTTGTATATGTAATATTTTTACTTTTTGACATATTTCCTTTTAAACATTTTTCAATCACAAATAATATGCTGTTGCCATATAAGTTCAGTTAGTGTAAGGCATTATACACAGAATATGTCTGCAATTTTTTACAGAATTAAAAAATGAAGTAATATGCAAGGTGTTCCATTTAAAATGAGAAGGTTTATATTCGCCAATATACAAAATTAAAATAAATTAAAGGTTTGTAATATCTTAATTGACTTTTGGCTCTATTCCCTATAGATCACATATTAGTGTGTAATGAAATAATATATATTGCTTATTCACAACGTTTTTGAAATACGTAGGTGTTAGGAAAGAATAGGCGATTACAACAATTATTCAAATTTTAATGTAAAATTCCGTATTTCGTTAGCTGTTAATTGAAAACAATTAAATATTAAGCAAAACAATGGTCGTTTGCAGTCAGCTGGATTGGATGATGATGTGTCAAAAAAATTCGTTCATAATATACAGCATCACTTTTTTCAGGATTTTGTGCAAGTCGCATAGTTGTCACAATTTTTCCCTTTGATAATCAAAAACAGGATATTTTTAATAAAGTGTTTCCGATATAAGTAATTAAAATATCGCCAAGTAGATTTGAAATATTAAAGACTAAAGTCAAGTTAAGACCCTATAATTTTAATTTTACCTGAAGGAATGGTCGTTTCTATAACTCTGCTGTTTTATATATAACTTTTGGAAAAATGACACATGTTCGGTATACATTTACAAATGTCATATTTATTATTAATAATTTCCACTGAACTAGTAAATTTTATTCCGGTAGCGGCTTATTATCTTCATTATAGTTGACCGTAATTAACTACGGATAAACCGATATTAAAGGAGCCGCTTGAATCGAACCCACCCTTTTTTCTGTAATGAGTGACAAAAATGCAAATGAACGTCGGTGTACAAAACCCGAAGATTTCCGCTCAATTATATATCAACAATTTATATAAATACTGTTATCAAAATATGATTGTCACCGGGGAAAATTTATTAGTCGACGATTTTTAAATATATAAATCGGAAGCTTTGTTGACGGAAATCAATTTGCCGCAGTATTCACAAGCACAAAGATCTCCAATTTTCTAATTTTGTTGTAGCGATTTCCGGGAATTGAAGCAATGGCTTGCTTTAACACAATCGTTTTTGTGTTGGCCGGATTGGCTTCTTCCAGTGCCTGCAGCATTTTTGGTAAGTAGATCAATTTTCACTTTTTTTAATTGGTCCACAATTTTGTAATCTGAATAAAATAACTTTGTTTTGCGAATTGAATTATTTTCAACCAGATTTTTCTTATTTTTGTCTTAGTGTTAAGTCTGTTTATAAAAAACAAATCAGTTTCAATTTAACAATTTTTCAACTTGGAAGTAAAACCTTAAACCGTGTGACGCATTCATTTTAAAAATTTGCTGCCGGTGGTGTAAAAGACATTGCTAAATTTGTGTTTTGCCACTGCCACTACGTTTAAAACTCAATCACTCCAACCTTTGTTTTTTCTTTGCTACATTTGGTTTTTATTCGAATAGCAAAATCAGATGGTTTTTCTACTAAACGTGTATATTGCTTTTAGAATATGACACACTAATTATAGAAAATTGTCTTGAGAAGGTTTAATGTCAAAATTAGCTAAAATCGTTTTTTGAAAAAAAATACCGAAACGCTTAAATATCTCCAAAGTTGTTAAAGTTTTTTTTACATGAAGAATACAAAAATATTAACAGCAATGTTGTCAGATTTACCATTTTCGCGTCACATGTCATAGATTTGTAATTTTAAATGGGATTGAAGGTTTCATAATTTCAAAATTTTATTTATATTAATTATTGAGCTACGACAACATCGATTTTTTAGTAAAAAGTAACGCAACGATTAAATATCTCCAAGACTGCCAAAGCTGGGGGATAAAATTTAGTACTTGGGTGTTTCTGAACATGCGGAACTCACAACTCGTGACATTTCACGATTATATTTGTAATTTCGGTTTTTTGGCAGAGACACTTCCAAAGTTTCCTTTGTTTAAATACCCCAAAAATTCTGAGATTTTTGAATTCTGAATATTAAAAACCGTTTCAGCTTTGGCCGTTTTGGAAATATTTAGGGTTCCGGTAGTTTTCACACCTAGGTCAAAAATTAATGGAAACAAAATTTTGAAATTATGAGAGCTTCCCAAATTCTAACTGTGAATTGCAATAAAAATAAATAAGGCATTCCATTAAAAATAACAAATTTATGGTATGTAATGTAAAAGTGATAAATTTGATATTATTGTTGGTATTTGTGAATTCTGCGTGTTCTAAAACCCACAGGTATTAAAGTTTATCGTTCCAGATTTAGCAGTTTGGAGATATTTAAGACTTCCAGGACTACTAACTCGTGTCATTTATGACGTGGAAAGGATTTTGGTCCTTTTTTTATCATGCCATGAAGTTTGTGATTTCTATAAAAATAAGCAGGGAACACCATTCGAAAGCTTTTAAATTTTATATGTTTGTTATATGTTTGATAATAAATAACACAAAAAGTTTTAAAAAATTGCATGTCGAAGAAAAAAAAAATTATCACAAACACCACCACAAACGACTACAATGCCGCTGCATGAACTAATAACGAAAGTCACCAATGCATATGCATTTATATTGATAATTGAAGTTTTCCGACCATTTCTCATTTTCTGCGTGCTTTTAATTGACGATAATGTAATTGGTTTGTAGTTTTTATTGTTTCTTTTAACAGCAAAATTGCTTCCAATTGCAATTGTTCCGGCAGCGTGTGAGTCACGGTGATTACTATTTTTTCAGTAAGCGAAGTCAACGACGGCGAAAAAAGCTTTATTGTCGATAAACACAACGAGCTTCGGAGGCTTATAGCAAACGGCGCCGTCGAAGGACAACCAAGGGGAGTAAACCTGAAAGCATTGGTATACATTTTTTGTTACCCAAACGGGAAATCGGTATTTCGTATTCTTTAATTTTAAGAAATACGACGATGCTCTTGCCGGAGCAGCTCAGCAGATTGCCAACAGCTGCGTGTTTGCCCATCAAACCGTCACTGATAGTAGGTGGCAAGCCGTGGGACAAAACCTCTACATATATATGTCGACCGCATACGATACAGCATCCGACTGGGATTCCGCTATCCAGGACTGGTTCAACGAGCATCAATTTTACACCTTCAATAACGGTTTCGATAGTGCCACCGGACACTATACCCAGGTACTTTACAAACGTCCTTTTTATTGACCTCACTAAATAAAAGCTAATGTGTTTATATCGCCAGAAAACTGAAAAACTTAAGAACCATTGAAAGAGATAGCAACAGCTTCGGCAATATTTTTAGTACCATAATATCAATTTGCCAACTAATTAGGCAGAAACGCGATAGTTCAACAATAAAGCGTTAAAATTCCCTCTTTTATAGATTCCTTAATCTGATTAAAAAATCGGGTATTGGATTTTAATAAAAATGCTGGCACACGAGCTTTGCAGTAGCCATAAAATATACAGGGTGGGTCAAAAAGTAAATCTCGTGACCAAGCAACACCATTTTTTATTAATCCATAATTCATAAAGCATACTTTATACCTCTTACTCTTGATGGGGAAAAGAATATAATTCAGAAATTTAATCTTGAAATGAGCAGGAAAATTGTTACAATTATATGTCACTAAAGCAAGTAAATATGGCGCATCTAAATGAACCCCAGAGAATTGAAATTTTAATTTTTGTTGGATATGGAGACAAAAAGAAAATTGAAACAGTAGGGTGTAATTTATTTACCGCAAAATATCCAAAAAAGACCATTACCATAGGCGCAGTCAGCAAAAATCAGAAATAATTCAAAGAAACAGGGCACTTAAAATATTGTCTTCTGGAAAGTAAGGTTGAGCGCATTAAAAGGAGAAAAGTAGCATCAATTCAAGATTACATTACTATAGTGCAACTTAAATTCATAATTTTATTTAAATGGTGCGGAAAATAAACATTATTGTAGGTATTGGAATATAAATAACATTATACACAACATCCACAAAAAATAAGAAAATCTTACTGAAGCCCGATATTTACAACTTCTTCGTAATGTTGAACTGAGGTGGCTTTTACTTGATGAAAATCCATTTATCAAAATAAATAAGAACTAAAAGTTCAGATTTTCACGAAATTATATATTTTGACATGACAATTGTTTCGACAACACCGTGTCTTTATCAAATGTAATATTTACACACTACCTGCTACTATATATACCGAAAAATGACCATAAAACCGTAATTAATGTTGAGAGAATTTAAGTTCATTAAAGGAGAGGTATTGAAATCTAATTGATCGTTAAGCAATACATTTGAATGTCTCATTTTGTTCATCTTCCTGGCTTCCAATAAATTTAATTTTCTTGTATGTATGTATGTATGTATATAGAAGTAGCATATATAGTAGCAAGTAGTTTGTAAATATTACATTTGATAAAGACACGGTCTTGTCGAACCAATTGGCATGTCAAAATATATAATTTCGTGAAAATCTGAACTTTTAGTTCTTATTTATTTTTTCTTCGTAATGATTTAATTCGTACTCCCGCAGTTTCTTTCCTAAAGATTTGGTTTCAAGAGTATGGTGTTCCTCTTCATTTTACTAGACAAAATTTAGATAATTTAAAATTTAGAATTAGATACGAAATAAGTCGAATTCATTGAAATGTCAAAATTGTATTGAAAAAAAGTGGAACTATATATGGGCAGTTATTTTCTTGACCCACCTTGTATATTTTTTATTCAGTGCAAGAATAAGCAATTAAAAATATGATGGACGTGTGCGGGGATTTTTCTTAAATACCTGATTTTTAAATGAATTTGTCCCATATTAATCACATTCACCGTAAGAAGTACAACATCGAGATACAGGTGCTAAAACTAAAGACCGTGGGTGTTTGTGCGCATGCGTTAAATGCGCATATTTGAAAAGAATCTTATACTCTCTCAAAAAGTTGTGAACTAGAGCGCCAATAATATCGCTCTTATTATTTCTACGTGGCTACATCAAATTTGGCAAAGCAAAGATGATTTCGTTCGTGATTCGTGATTATAAAAATATTTTGAAAAAAAAGATTTAAATATAACAAGTTTTTATTGTTCACTTAGCTCGTGTGGGCCGACACAGAATACGTAGGTTGTGGATACGCAGCTTATGAAACGAACGAGGCTTATCCTTATCAGAAGCTTTACGTTTGCAACTACGGACCTGCGTAAGTATTCACAATCTATTATTTGTTGTTATGTGAAATTTATAATCCTCCGGTCTCGTTTTTAAAAACTATTTCAACCTATTTCTGCAGGGGCAACTATATAGGCCAGTATCCCTATCAAACCGGCGACTCTGGCTGTGAAAACTTGTGTTAAGTATCCAGCTCACACTACGTCAAATTGCCAAAGAGACAATTCCTAGTGTACCGCTTGCCAGTAGATGAGAAACATAGCAATAGTACCTAATTATTTATTTATTTAACTGTGAGCAAAGTAAAATAGACATTTCATCTTCATTCGAGATATTTTTTAGCCAGCCTTAACAAATCCACATGTTGACCGTTGATTGCAATACCAAAAACGCTTGTTGTGAACAAAACGTAATTTGACCAAACCAAAACTATGTGTATGTATCGAAAGTGACGTTTGGAAGCAGTTGAATATTAGATATGGTTTTGCTACAGACAAAAATTTTGAATTTCGGTTGAGCAATACTGATAGTTTACTTTACTTTACTTCACTTTATTCATGTGCCTGAAGTATACTTGGGTACAATCGACACAAATTTAAACATATATGACTTAAATTCGAGGTTATAAACAATTTACCCCATTAAGATTCCAGTGTCTTATTTAAGCAGGCTATTATCGTTATCTAAAACTCTTGTGTAGAACAGTAACAATATTTCTAATAACATCAGTTACTTTGTTATAAAATGCTGGACCATAATGGTTAATGCTAATACAAGATTTCTTCGATCTTAAAAATTTTATGTTGGTGTTATTTTTGTATCGTGTATGATGATATGCATGCTATAAACAGATGGTGAAGTTAGTATAATCAGTCTTACAGACAATTTTTTGACATCAGCTGTGTACGCGACACATAAATAGATTTCCTCTAGAGTGCAAATATTGCAAGTACAGGATAGGAGCAATTAAAATGAGAGAGGCTATGACAGACCATCAAAACTAGATTTTGTTTGATTGCAGATTCTATATTCTCAGCTGCTCTATATTTTATAGCAGCTTTTAATATTCTGTAAAGACCTTCGACAATGTACTCCAATGTAGATAAAATATAGCGTCGACTGTTGGAGAGTTTATAAATTTCCTGCAAACTATTTCAGAAGAAAGACATCGTGAAATGGTGGAAAGAGGCGATAGAAAAGGACTTCTTCTAAATCCGTAAAATTCATTACTATGGTCGTTTTTTATTTTTCTAAAACCACGAACTAAATCATTAGAAACCGAAATAACTGAGAATTTCTTATTATTTTTAGATGGCTTTGCAATTGTTTCGATATATTGCTGAATAGTTTAAAATCGTTCTGTTTTATTAAGCTGATGTTTGATTAACCCACAGTCACGATCGCACAGCATATAAGAATTTTCACGGGAAAGTGTATTTGCATTTCTTTGAACCTTTTCAGCTCATCCAAACTCATTAATTAGCAAATCATTGTTTTGTTTTTATTTTGCCCACAATAATTATTAGAAACGACACTTCTTATTCTTATCTTTTTCTAATCTGATGTTTAAGAAGGGAACAAACGTCATCTACTCCTTTACCAACCTCTCCTTCATAGTATACGTTGCAAGTCATATTTTTGGATTTTGTGAAATTGTGAATTCCAAAGGTACAAACGGTCAGCTACCGAAAATAATATAGACACTGTACCGGAATCTCGAGTGGAGAAACATTGTTCATATAATCAACCCAAACTCCTAATGCCTCATCTTCCTCTTCACACATTTTTTTTCCAATAAAATTTCTTGCTACGTCTCTTGTATGCCATAAGTTCAGCGACTCCAACCCTCTTAGCATTTTCGTTCTCACTTTTAATTTTCGCATTCGCAAAATGTGTAAGAAATTTTATTATCAGGATATTTTTGTTGAAACATTTCAAACATTCTTTTTGCAAATAATTTTCAAACCGAAAAACGAATTTTTCGACTTTTTCAGTGCGATATTTTTCTAGGGTAGTGTTCACGAATATTATCAAAAATAAATGATTTTGAGAATTTTTTCGATCGCGTATACCATTTTTGAGAAATGATTTTTTTCTCGATATCCTGTAAATGCGGTTTTTAAATTTATAACTAAACTTTATATTTGTAGCAATTTTAAAATCGATAGCTGCAAATCTCGGACACTTATCGTATTACATAACGATGTACAAAAACAGACGAAAATCGCAAAAAAAGACAGATGCCAATTTCCAATCGCGGCCACTTCCTATGGGCTTATGTACCTCGTGGCCAGTTTAAAAGGAGAAAAAATTCTGCATCATGGCTTCGACGGTTCCGAAGTTATTCGCGTTCTTGTGAAGCGTCTACAGAAAACGGAGAATGGACAAAGAGACAAAAAAAAAGTTTTTTTTTTCGACGCTGGTCTTTTCTGTACCAATGGGGGTCCCCTAGGACCAACGGTTGCCGAGATATGAGTTTCGTTGCCAAGCGCGTATACTTTCCAAAGTTTTGATTTTATCCAGTGCGAATCGTCTGCGCCATAATATGCTTTTTTTCCTAAAGGAACGCATTGTTTTTATATCGTGCTCCTGCGGACTTTTAAGTCTCGCCGAACTTCAAAGATACGGCAAAGTTTGGTAAATATTAAGGAGATTTTTAGCATATTTTAGATTTTTTGCCCATAAACGATGTATAATTCAAACAATGTTCGAGGTAATAGCCCTGGATCGCCCATTTCTCGTGGTAAATGAATTTTTCCAATAGAGCAAATGGTTTTGGAAAAAATGCATATGACAGTTAGTGAATTCGCTTTATTAATATACTCCAGTCCAAGCAGTTGTGCAGTTACGTGACATACAGTGAGCATTCAAAAATGATCCGTGTGCCCGTGTGTGATTTTGGGTAGTAGATAAATGAAGATTTAAAGGGTATCGAACTCGGATGGGGACAAAATAGAAGAAATTTCAAGGTGTAGAGACAGAAGAGCCTTATTGATTTACGGGTATGATGAATTCTTTTTCGAAGTAAAGCGAAACTAGATTTTCGAAGAATTTTATAAGCGGATGAGGTTGTGAGGTGATGGGATATTTAAAAAAAAAGCTGTGAAGAAGTCAAAACCACATTTACTTCAAAAATGTCTCATCATCTTCGATCCGTCAAAGCCAAAATTCCGTTTGAGTTACCAGGAGTTTACAGCATTCCACGCATATGCGGCAAAGAATACATTGGAGAGACCGGACGAAAAATATCAACTAGACTCAAAGAACAAGAAAGAGCCTTACAACTAAGACAAATAAACCCATCAGCCGTTGCCGAACACACTCATGAAACCAGCCATAAAATTTTATTCGATAAAACTAAAATTCTTGCATGTAATCAACTCTTCTACCAATGAAAAATCCGAGAGTCTAGAGAAATCTATAAACAACCTAACAATCTTAACCGCGACTCAGGTCTCTACCTGTTACCAATTTGGGAATCAGTCATCCCGGACGGTGTTTATGCCCCTCATTAGCGCCCCCCTCAAACAATATATAAGCAGGTACAGAGTAAAATACGAGCCAGTTTCAGTCAAGTTCTGAAGAAGCCAACAGGATGATTGGCGAAACGTCAGCAATTTCGACTCAGCAAAAACCGACGCAGGAGGAATCCAAAAATTTTGTAAAAAGTATTACAGTAGGCTGTGGAAGTTTCTTAAAAAAAAAACTAATCATCAACGGAAAAAATATCTTCCTCCGAGTCTGATGCATGCATGGCGATAGCAACTGGGAGAACATTAGATGCATCGATCAACTTTTCTGTTTCCCAAGCCTCAGTTATCAGGTGGTTATATAATGTTATGAATACTCCATCAGAAGTATTATGATAAATTATTATAATAATATTGCTTCATGTGGATAAACGCAATACATCATCAGATGTTACGAGATTACCGGAACCTATTTGGGCATCATAATTCTCTTTACATATCTATCGCATAAGGCAAAAGCCGCAAAACGCGATGTTCACTTTCAAATGCTAACTTGTCTATTCTTAAAAAAACATATTTTGAAATAATTTCATATTCAAAGAAGAATACTTCGGAACTAGCTATGCAGTTTTTCTGGCAAGTGTCGCTCCACTAGTATCCATTCATCGTTTTCTTTTATTAAATTCGGTTGTAATGGAATATTTCTTTTTTTGCAGCTAGTAAGCGAGAAACGGCTTGATCCCACTTTGATTAGGTATTGGCTCAGTATGTCCGCAGTGATACGACGCATTGTTAGTCCTTAGTTTCAAAATTATAAAATGATTGAAATATGCTTTCTTTTTCATCTGCACTCAAACAACTTAAACGTTTCTTATAGCAGCTGAAAGGACTGGCGACCACAAAATTCATTCAAATTTTACATTCATCACCAGCAACCACTTTTGATGGAATCATTTTTAGTAATAACATTTCTCATATAATTGTCATTATTTACAAAATCTTTTTTTCTCAGTATTTCTGATTCACTTTCTGGACTCGAACTCAATTTAACCTCTTTCTTTACAATAACGCAATAGAAATGATGCTAAACCATTCACGTGGTATTTTATTTTGAGTACATTGAAACGAATTATAATTACACATTAAAATGTAGTATTATAACATCTTCACTTTTATAGTGACCTACGAAGTGGGTGATTGTAATGATGTTATCAGGCTGCTCAATTAGATTTAGAATTAGATTTCGGTATTTCTAGTTCACTTTTTGAACTTGAATCCATTTTAACCTCTTTCTTTACAATAACGCAATAGAAATGAGACTAAACCAATCACGTGTTATTTTATTTTGAGTACATTGAAACGAATTACACTTACCTATTAAAATGTAGTATTTTAACAACTTGGGTCCGGATCACATTAGCGCAATCGCAACAAACAAATTTCCAATCTATTTAAAGTGTCGATAGTTGTAAAACTTTTGCTTTTACACGTGTTTTAAGTATTTTATAATGCGTAGTAATCGAAATAATTTCGTTACTGATTGTTTTTTGCCAGGGTGACGCACGTGTTTAAATAGCTAGTGTTATTATGAAGCGTTTGGCATCACCAAGGCGATGACGGAACTAACCAAAACCAACCAAAGTTGAAAAATATCAACCGCCTTCACTGTATACAAACGAAAAATAACACAAATATTCTCTTTAAACGAGAACAACACAATAATGCTAGATAAACACATCAGGTATTTACACATGTGGCAACAAAGCTACTAATAAAGATTCCTACGCATTATAAATTAGTTACATCTTAAAACACGTATAAAAACATAAGTTTTGCAACCTTAGATGCTTAAAATCATGTTTTATAACCGTTCGGTGTAGTTATTTTTATGGTAAATTTGTTTGTTGCGATTGCGCTTTTGTGTAACAGTACCTAACAATTTCACTTTGATAGTGACCTACGAAGTGGTCGATTGCAAAGACGTTATCAGGCTGTTCAATTATATTTCAACGTCAATTCTTTATTGAAGAAAGGTGACATATCTCAGATATGTCTCCTTTCTGCAGTAAGCGGAAGTTAAATCGCTTTACAGTAGCAAACCCGGTTACGCAGTGTGGGTGCTTTCTTCAGTAAACGATGTGTTTACCCTTTTACAATCGAAAAGTATATAAACGTCAATTTTTCAAAAAAAAAATAGATGTCACCTTTCGAAAAATAACAAAAACGTTCCATTAGATAGGAAAGTCTTAATAATACATAAAACCGCGTTTTCGTTTAATCTGAGATGATTCTAATATGTCAACGACTGTGCGCCACCCGGTAGAGTATTTTCAACCACGTCCCTTCATTCTTATCCATCTAGTTTCGCCAACTTTTATTTAAATCGTAGATGTGCCGTGAGGCTTGATTCTAATTACCAATAATCAGTTTTCTCAATAATCTCCCTAAACCTAATCAACAGTGAATCATTAAAAATTAAAAATGCCTTAGAATATTGCTCTATTTGTAAATTGTTCTAACACAATATACCTGTCTGATTGTTACTGCGTGTAAGGTGAAGTTCGGGTTCCGAGAAAACGAGAAAACAATCGACAATAACATGGACAAGCTTGTAAAATTATTATCGTTTAGGCGGGTATTAGAAAAAGTACTTACTTGAAATTCTAGTTACGCACGACAAACCCGTAGAATATCCACGGCAGACTTTGAGGTAAGCAGCGAAAATGAATTCGCTTGTGTGTGTTGGCCTATGGTTGTGCGTTGTATTGGCTTGCGCATTCGCAGAATGTGGAAAAGTTTTTGGTAAGTCGCTTCAATCGTGTATACGATCTACTGGAAACCTGTCTACGTTTTCTTAAGACAATAAAGTGACAGCAGATGATGAAAAGCAGATAGTTAACAAACACAACCAGTTGAGAAAACTTATAGCCAATGGACTGGTCCCGGGCCAACCACGGGGTGTTAATCTTAAAAGATTGGTAAGGTAATTGGTTTAGTCATACGGTCGTCACTTTTTATTTTATTTCCGCAGAAATATGATCACCGTTTGGCGGCAGCAGCCCAAGAAATTGCAAATACTTGCGTATTCGCTCATAAAACGGTATCCGATGGTACGTTGCATTATATACAGGGTGTTTCAAAAGAAATGCAAAAACTAAAATAAAGGGTAGTATGTTATAAAAACGTTGGGTCAATAGGGAGATATCGTGCTACAAAAGTGGCGGAAAATAATATTTATATTTTTACATATATATTTTGTATATATATTAGATAGATGATTGGTGGCAGTTGTCGTTGAATGACAATACCCATTCGGCTAGCGTAAACATTTGCTATTACCCTAAGGTTTTGATTGCGTATTCCGGTTGTTTTAAGAATATCAATAAGTTTTATGCATTTAACTCTTTCAAACGCCTTTTCAAAGTCCAAAAAACAACAATGGACATCGAGATTAACAGAACCTCTCTAGTACCGAGGCCATTTCTAAATTCAAACTTTGCCTCATATTTCCGTTCATGAATGATACAGAGAAACACTTTGAAAACATGACTTATCAAACTGACGATCATCACATTTTATGCACATGCTTTTTTTTTGAGATTGGAATATACACTGACACCGTGCGTTCGTCTTGCATAGTTCTAGTTTGATATATATTATTAAACCACTTTGTGTTTCTACACCGTTTCCCTCTAGTAGTTTCCCTCTTCTTTTGTTATTTCTTGTATGTTCTTTTTGACATAATTCTTCAATGGTATTCTTATTCTCTCCACCTTGCGTTGTCTAATTTCCGGATGGCGTGTCCATGTTTGTCTGTTCTAGTTTCCGACGTATTGCTTTCAATACTGCTTTTTCTTTTTGTATTGGTTTATAATAACGTTCTATGTGCCGTTTTTGGACCCTTTTAAGTACAACAATGGATGGTATCAAAAGGAACACTCCTTATGTACTGTACTGTACATTTACACTGTTTAAACAGCATAGGGCCCGAGCCTTCACAGGATGGCACATATAGCTACCTTCTAACAAGCTGTTGGTCTCTCTCTCAGATAGTAATTGTCCATGGTCTATCAAATTCTACTGTATTTATTCGGTATTTATCGCCTTACTAATAATACAGGGTGACACTACCAGTTAAATGTGCCATGCGTCCCTTCAAGCACATTTCAATGATTCACAATTCTTTTCCTTCTTTTATTTTCTTTTTTATTACAGTAAGTATTTGTTTGTATTCTTGTTTTGTATTGTTTCCTTTTCTCAATTATGTATTTCCTCCGCCAGCAAAGGATTATTCTTTTTTATTACTTTTCTCACTGTAGTAGTGAGAGTAATGTATGATTCTTAGCACCCACGTAAGGAGTGGAGTCCGGCAGTATTTTTCTGTGATCTTTTGGGAATAAATAGTAAGATGCCGTTTGCCTTCCTCACAGCAGTACGGAAACCATGAACGCTGTTGCAGCTGGGCTTTCCGTTTTTGAATACTACGGGGCTTCGAAGTAATCCTTAATAATAAATAGTACCATTGCTTGGTTTTCTTGCAACTGCTGCCTTACATCAAGGTTTGGATGGGGACGTGAATGCGGTATTGTTAAGGAATATAAGGGTAGGAACTAACCTCTCTTGCAAAAGGGCTAGAAGAAAGATTAGCAGCTTACATTTGGGCAGAATTAGCTAAATACCATAGTAGTCTTTCATCGAGATCATAAATAAATCCATAATAATATTTGCCTATAATATTATTGTTTTTGTGTATGCTCGTTTTTAAAATTCAAATAATACTGCCTTGCTTTTGACCCAACGTTTATGTAACAAAGTAACCTATATGACCTGATTTAGAAAAGCTGATCATATCTGGAAACCAGCACCCTTGTGTCGCAATTTTAGGTAGATGGCATGCAGTAGGGCAAAATCTTTTTTTGCACATGTCAACGGGGAAAGATTTCAAGAAAGATTGGGATAGATCCGTGCAAGAGTGGTTTGACGAGCACAAGATGTACTCTTATAGATCTATATTTTCTATGGGCACGGGGCATTATACTCAGGTACTTATTTTCAAACTTTGAGGTGGTTATACACACTGCTGTTAAATAAGGTTGCCTACATCTAAGTAGACTTATAATTTTACATAAGGAAGTGTTGGACCTACACGATACGGAAGCTTATAGTGAAATAAGTGCAATGGATACGTTAAAAAAGTCTTATTAAAACATTCTATTGGTGATTACTACTGGTTTAAATGCAATTTGTTTCAAACAAATAGTGAATGTTCTTAAAACAAAAAAGAACCGCTGTTTCAGTTTAAGAGAAAATTTCTATATACCCTAACATACGTTTTACCAATGAGTTGGAAACTAATAATAACCTTCAATTCTTAGATATTCTTATCAATAGAAAATCAGACCTAACATTGGCTCATTGTGTTTACGGAAAACCTACGCACATACTTAATGCATGGTCACATCACCATTCGGCCCAAAAATCATCGGTTATCAACTCTCTTGTTTGCAGAGCCATAAAACTATCTCAGGTCGAGTCACTGAAAACAGAATTAAAACACCTTACCTCTGCTGATTTCTCTAATAATTTCCACATTTAAGATATTAAGCGTTCCATCAAAAAATATACTTCCCCACAATCTTCCAATAGCAATGAGGCCTTCCTTACATTCAAAACATCACTGAACACATATCAAAAGTTCTAAAGAAGTATAACGTCAAAACCAGATTTGCCAGATTTGGTCCGTCAAAGACAAAATTCCATTTGAGATGCCAGGAGTTTACAGCATTCCATGCATATGCGGCAAAGAATACATTGGAGAGACCGGACGAAAAATATCAACTGGGCTCAAAGAACATGAAAGAGCCTTAAGACAAAGACAAATGAACTCATCAGCTCTTGCCGAACACACTCATGAAACAGGACATAAAATTTTATTCGACAAAACTAAAATTCTTGCATGTAATCAGTTCTTCTACCAACGAAAAATCCGAGAGTTTATGCCCCTCATTTAGCTCCGCCTCCCTCAAACAATATATAAGCAGGTACAGAGTAAAATGCGAGGTAGTTTCAGTCAAGCTCTGAAGAAGCCAACAGGATGGCTGGCGAAACGTCAGCAATTTCGACTCAGCAAAAACCGACTCAGGAGGAATCCAGAAGTTTTGTAAAAAGTATAAGAAAAAATCACTTTTCAAATACACTTTAAGTCAATACAGCAAGCAAATATCCTCCTTTTTCCTTAGAATCTGTTTTTTTTTTGTTAATAAGGATTACTGTCATATTTCTTTTATCGTCTAGAGAAATTGTTACTGCAGTATCTAAAATGGACTCGAATATGTGTGCTTCAAATTCGGATATTTCTATTAGTTATTATATCAAATTGAAAGCGTGGGGAATATCTCCGAAATCATCCGATTGCTCCCAAACTCGTGCGGTAAAACCCCGGAAATGTTCGAAGTGGGTCGGATCCGTGGGAAATAAAACGGACGTGGTAAAGTGACGCTTCCCGCACGTTAGATCCGTAGGTAATTAGGTATTTTACAGACGGGAGTAGAAAAAATAATTAACATATTAAAAATCCGCTCTACAATGTCTAATAAAATATGGTAGATAGGTAGATGTTATATTTTCTAACCCAAAAGAATGGCCGTTTTAGCTACTAATAACATGTGTAAATATTAAATTTTACTTACGAAATGATTTTTTGAAAAAGCATGTTTACTGGAAAACTCACAAAAACTAGTGGTTGTAAAGAAAATAGTATGCAACACGCATTGTAACTCAAATAAACTCGTTACTCAAATACCGTTTATTACACTTGTTAAGCCTGCAAATCTGTCGACACTTATAATTTTAAATAACCAAGTGTAAACAAAAATGTCCCCAAATCGACGGAGATTTTTTTTTTAGGTTGTCTGGGCTAATACGGAATACGTCGGTTGTGGATATACATTTTCTGGCAAAAATTCGTCATTTTGGTATCAAAAGCTGTATGTTTGCAATTACGGACCAGCGTAAGTATATACAGTATCCCAGTTAGTTTTATATAGCTCAAACATTCGTTTAAATACTGATTTGATTCAAGAGGTCTAATATAAGAACAATAATTTTTTTGTCACAATTTTCCGGTCACAAACATACCGGGGGTCCTAACAAGGGCAACGAGGTTTTAACAAAAAGAATGGTCCTAGAAATTTGAAAGATTTTTTTTAAAAATAAATTTCTGAAATCGCCACCAGAGACCAGATAAAGGTAAAAACAAATTCAAATACTTTTTCTATGATACCGTCTGCTTTATCTCAGCAAGGGCAGTGGTGGGGGTGATCGAACACAAACGTCCATATCTCCAAAAACACTTAATGCATTTGTTTTTTGGATTTAAACATGGTCAAATAACGTCCCAACAAGCGAAAAGCATATCTCAATATCTTTATTCGAACCTAAAATATGAATAGAATAACTTTATGTTCAAAGAGGATTTTGTTTCAGATATCGAAAAATATTTATACTTTACCGGTTGTTGTTTATGTCTAATTACATAATTACCCTAGTTCAGCGTCTACGCTTTAGGAACGAAGAACAATACTGATTTATTTAATACACATCTTACTACTTAAATAATGCAATAGTTAATTAAATTGGTTAGTTTTCTACAATTGACTAGTTTTGACTAGTTGACTATATCTAGTATTAAATAAATAAATAAATAGTGGCTTTTATTGTGGAGAAAGAGAAAGAAAAAAAAAGAATTACATATTTGTAGCGTACAATTTTTGGTAAAATAAACTTACTTTGAACTGTTGCTATCCATAAAAGCGAAGTCTAGCGCTCAATCTGTGCGAACCTAAATAGCTCAAAATTTAAATTCTGCATTTCATCACAGATTTATTAATCATGATTACAAAAAATTTTTTTTTTAATAATTTAACAGCCAGTTTATCAGAAAGCTTGCTAGAAAACACTCAAGCAGCATTTTGATAAAAATCCATTGGCAATATTCAATTCAATAGAAAGTCTTTTAATTTGTATTTAAATATATGAAATATATGAAATTTTAAAATTTTGTTGTACATGGTAATCGTCTGAAAAACAAAGCATCTCAAGAACAAAGAAGTCTTATGCTACGGTAGTGCAAGTCTAAATAAGATACAGAAAGGTGCAATAGTTTAACTAATTTTTTTATCCAAAATTTTCCGGTTGGTTAGTTTAATTTTTTCTCAAAATTAGTAAATATTAGTTAAGTTTGAGAAACACTTTCTTGTTTTTGTCACGAAAACATAAATGCTTTCACTTGTTTGGATTTAGAAAGCTGTTTAATTATTTCAAAGTCGTCATTGATATGAACTCATTACTGAGGACCCAAAATTGAACCCTGAGGCACTCCAGCCAAAATATCAACACTTGAAGAGAAAACTTTTTGAACAAATATCCTCTGACCTCATTCGCTTAAATGAGAAGTTATTAAGTCCAGCGCCAAGTCATCAAATCCAAAATATTTTAATTTTGCAAATAATAGCTAATATATTAATCGTGTCAAATGCTTGGAATAATCGAGTAACACAAGCATACTAGCCAATCCTGTATCATATCTCTCTATTATATCACTCAGAACTGTTGCCAATGCAATCGTGGCATTATATATTTTGTAATGTCAGATTGCACTTCCGATGATTAATAAATTAATATATTGGATAATCTGTTTGCACCAAATTTTTTAGAAAATTTTAGACAGAAGAGATAAAACTCTAATGACTCGTAAGTCAGAAAAAAAGTCAAAAAAAGTCACCATAAATAAGGGAAATATTGCTTTTCTATCTATGTATTTATAAGATGGAGTATATATTTTCAACAAAGGGTCTACAATAGCCTAAAATTTTTTGAGTAATGTCATCAACCCTACAATTACACAACCGTACAAATTAGTTTTAATTGAGTTTAAGACTTTATCTATTTTATTAGCTCAACACCTCCAAAAAAGGTTGCAAAAATCCGATTGATTGCTTTAGGATCGGAAAGCGAGATGGGGAAGAGGTATTGAAGTTTGATAAAGAAATATTAAGATTTTTCAGAGCTTGCCAAGATTTTGTTGAGTTGTTTTCATGGTTAATTGAGTGTAAATATCCCTTCTTCTCATTTGGAACGATTATGACATTGTAGTTACGAATTTTTTTATACGAATTCCACTCATGAATTAAACATGTAGTACTAAATTTCTGCAAACAAGCTTTAGATTGTCAATTAACCAAGTTGCGGGTGGTTTGGTACCCATTCTTTTCAATAGAGTCTAAAATAAACGAATTAAATACATTATAAAATATTATATATAAAATTATGCCACGGTACATTTTGTAAGTCACATAAGAGAACTCTTTTGGATTAAACCGTATATAGTTCCTATAAGATACAATGTAGGTGACATTTTCCTTGACTTTAACTTTAGCTCGACTAACACCAACATCTGATCAGAAGTGCCCTCTACAGACAGAGCCCCTACTGTAGACACCCTCAGCCCCGCAATAAAAAGTATTGGATCAATCAGCATGGTCTTCGAATTTCTAGTTGGCTAGCAAAAAATTGGGTGAAGCTGTACGATTCAAGACACGAAATTAGACCACTTTCACTACAAAAAAAAGTTCACATTCACCAAGACACAATATCTCATTTGCCATAGGTGACACTCTCATCTAAGTAATTCATTACATAATTTTAGACCTAGGCTGAGGATAAAAAGTACAAATAAGTTTAGTTGAACTCCCAATTTAAGCGCAATTAAAAGATATTCAGTACTCTGGAAAGCTAGGGTATCTAGATTTATCTCTTTCAATTTATATGCGTTTTTTACTGGTGCAACACCACCTCTCCTACCATCCCTATCTCTACGTATCAGAGAATATCCCCAGGACTCTATAGATCTAGAAAGCCAAGTCTTTGTCAAAGCTACAATATCAAATTCTTCAATCAGAAGTTTTGAATTCATTAAAATTTATTGAAAGTGAACGTCTATTTATGTGCCTTATCTTAATATCATAATCCAATAGGAATTAGCATATTCATAATTTACGTTGTTATATCAATATACTGCGAACCACAGGTACTGTAAAGATAAATAACAAAATACCGTATCTCGTTGCATTTACTGGGACGCTCGGTATATATCATTTGTTTCATTTGTTTGCTGATATAAAATATGTTTCATTTTTAGAGGGAATTATATTGGCGAGTTGCCTTACAAGACGGGTGAGTCTGGCTGTGAAAATTTGTGCTAACCCTATTAATGATTTGTTTTTTTGAATACATTAAATAAACTGAAATATGCAAGAACCGTCTTTTTTTCTTTATCCTGTTGTTTATTTGCATTTTAATGCGTGAGAACATGGACAATTATGATAACAATATAAAAAAAATTACAGTCAAATTGAAGAAAGTCCCTTTCTATATATTTTATTTAGAATTCAAAATTGCTGTGTATAATAAGGTAATTTAAATTACATATCATTTTCTAAATGTCGCAAATTAGCAAATACAAACAAATAATATTCATATCGTCGCTAGTTTTAGTTTTTAGATCGACTAGTTCCTAATTTGACCACCTGTATAAAAAAATGTTTTTAATTGATAAAGTTATCCTACTGCCAATTTAAATGAATAAAATATTCTTACATCATAACAAATAATTTTTAATAAGATCTTCGATATAAGAAAACAGTACTTTGTTTCCAAGATACAGAGTGCTTTAAGAAAATACATTTTTTTATAATAATTTTAATATGGATTTTACATTTTTTACAGAATATTTTTCTTTTTTTATCATTTATATTCTGGTTTTACATCTAAAATTAGCGTTTCCCCAAACTTGATTAAACTAAGCTCAGACAATTGTTTACATGAAATTTTGTGGAATATAAAATAGCACTGTGAAACTTATTTGCAAATACCCTGTACATGCATTAATTCCATTTCCACCAATAAATATCAGGAAATATCATAAAATTTTTGAAGCAATTGTTAAATTTAAAAATTAATAATTGTATTTTTTTATTGTCCTTTGCAGTAGCAATGAATTTTATTTTTCATAATCTTTATGCACGATGAAATAGCTAAAATCTCGATGTTGGTTGTATCTAAAATTTGTTTTGGTCAATTAAAATAAAATGGTATGTTTTGCAACAAGTGTGGAAAACGGCATTTGAATCACGAAATCAGTGACTTAAAAAGTTTACTAAACGTATTAGTTAAGTTTTTCGAATGACGGGTTTCGTTTATAGAAACAACTTTGTTTCACAAACAGAACTACGAGCTTTTCATTACGCCATTACAAGCAGAATTAATTGCAAAGCACATTTTACACATATTTATGATATTTCTAGGCGAACCTCGCGTCGAAGATACTAAGCATGTTGAAGTTAGCATTTCTTGTAATCATCAGCATATTGTATCACATAATTTATAGCTTACTATGCGTTTTCTATGACTTAGTTTTTCTGTACATTTTTGCGAAACAACGTGACCATCAAAATATCCCGGAAATGTCCGAAATGGATCGGGGGTCTTGGGAAATGAATCTGACGCGGTAAAATGACACTGCCCGCGTGCTAGGTCGGTGTATAATTTGGCATTTTACCGGAGGAAGTAGAAAAACATTATAAATTATACGCAAATAAGTTGCGGCAATAATCGTTATGTAATATAATACAATTTTTGACGATGTCGTTAAATTTAAAAAATAATAAATACAGATTTTTTATTGTCCTTTGTATTTTTAAGTTGTTGGACGCACAATTGAGAATTGCGATTTTAGTGAGTCACTTGATTACTTCTTCCGGAATGAATCTCATTAGCATTTTTGTTCTCTTATTTGCGTCATGTTCCTGCACAGAATCTGTCTGTACGAATATTTTAGGTAATTTTTTGTCACTGCTGCGAGTGAATTCTTCAACTGGTCTATTGCGTTTCAGATCAAGGACTAAATAAAGAACAGGAAAAGTATATATTAGCTAAGCACAACAAAGTAAGAAAATTGATTGCCAATGGCAAAGTTCCCGGACAACCAAGAGGAATTAATTTAAAAAGATTGGTAATGAAAACATTTTACGTAATTCCATAAAATTCTATATAATTTTACAGAAATACGACGCCAGTATTGCTAAGGAAGCCCAGCGGATTACGGATACTTGCGTGTTCAGTCATATGGAAGTAAAAGACAGTAAATAAGCAATATTTTCGATATATCGTTTGTAAGTTGTAACTTACAGATAGGTTTCCTGGTGTAGGACAAAACCTTTATCTGGAGCGGTGTTCCGAGAAAAGTAGTCGAAAAAACCTGGGTCGGGCTGTACAGGCGTGGTTTGAAGAACATAAATTTTATAATTATTCGACGATACGAGACGTACCATATTTTAAAAAAATTGGACACTACACACAGGTATTTACCGTACGCACTTTTCCGTTTTCTCACGAAAACTATACACTACAGTTATAGCTAACGTATCGCTTCGTGGTCCGGGGACTGCAGTGTGTATTGAGCAATCTGCCCTGCCGTTGGAACTCTTCCTGGCACTGTTCCTTTCGACCCCGTCATGAAACTGCAATTGTCTCACTCAGATCTAGCTCGAGTTTTGCTCTTTGGTCTGCCCATCTTTTGCAGTTAAAGGTTGTGTTTGGGGAGTCATGCCTCATTGAAAATTGTGTCATCGAGTAGTTTGGTGGTTCCATCGTTTTTTCCATTCACTCTTTCGCATCAAGTATTAGCTTAATGGTCCAGTCTACTTTTTTGCTATTCCCTCATTCTCCCTGCCAGCTATTCAATGTTTTTTTGTTCTCCGCTGCCCTTCCACCTTAAATTCATTTTCGATTTCCGATAGTGAAGTTGCGATCTCTCCGCTACAACAAAGTGTATTGGTAATGTCATTGGTATAATTAGGGCTGCCCAAGAAAAAACGGGTCGGTAAGCACTACATACCCTGCGATGGCAAGTTTCCTCTATTGTCTCGCTAGTCGCTTGCCCAACACGGTGCTCCGGACAACAATATAAGGCCCACTGTTTGTGCACGTATTTTTCTATTAAATTCGAATGCTCCCACTATCCTTGACGTTATCTTACGCCACCTTACGCATACGTGACTCAAAAATCACCTGTTTGGTGATTTCTAATTTTTCCAGAAGATGAAGTTTTTTACTTTTTAGGTAGTCATGCAAAACAATGAGTTTTTTATTTGGACAAAAGTTATGCCCTGTGGTCCAAGGATGAGCAGTGAGGCAGAATTGGTCTCTGACACCTCAGTGTGCTTGTACTTTTTCAGCAAACTGAGATGTTCGTAGACGCTAGCGGAGCCAGGATGTCTGATATAAATTGCATTGCAATGCTCCTGATCTAGAAAAATAATCTATTGGATCCTTATCTAACTTTTATTCTACATTGCTTAATGTATTGTTTGTGTAAAAACAATTTAATTGTATGAAAGAATCTACGGCTGAAATTTTGATTCATCCAGCAATGTTTATATTTCAAGTTAACACCCAAATTCGTGAATTTGAAATGCAGATCTCAGCCAAATTCATCGAGAAAAGCTACAGTTTTAAACCGCAGTTTAACTGATGAGGTCGAATCTTTTCGAGTGACTACATACCGACGGTTACGTAAGATAATTTACGATCTTAAATTGGGTAATTCGTCTAATTCTGAGTATTTTCTCCAAAGAGATTCGCCATCAAATAGTTTTGACGCAAATTTCCATAAACGATCTCGCAATTTAACAAAAATTACTTTGGTTGACAAAAAACTTAAATCTTAAATACAATTTTTTAAACAATAATCATAGCAAAAGAAAGAAAGAAACTAGCCATGCTGACTGAGAATATCATACAGTCCACCAAAAATATGTTTATATCTTAATTTTAGCATCAGTTGCTTCAAAAGGTTCGACTTGAAATCGTTATTGAGTAAAATTAAAAATGAAGACCCTGTGATCACCAAATCTGACAGGAGCTCTTGTCTGATTATAATGGAGAGGAAGACATACGTCAGTATGGCTATGGACTTTTCGGCAATGGATGATTTTCACCAGATTACAACCTAGCTTCATGTCTTAATATAGTTCACAAAAATACAACTGGCTTTCACACCATTTATTCTACTAAAAATTCAGTGGAGTTGACCAGTTACTTCAAGACAGTGGTTGATGTCAAAACCTTATTCCCAAGCGTTCCCCCATCTGAGTGCGCTCTTTATTGAATGACACCAAAAGTCATCATCGCTGGCCTAGTTCTTCTTTTGGCCACTGCCTTAGAACAAAATATCTTTAAGTTCGATAATAAATTTTTAGACAATTCCAGGACTATTAATGGGTTTTTGCTTGTCACCTTTTTTAAGTGAAATTTTGACGAACAATTTTAACATATTTGATAGTTTACGGAGTTCCTAACGGCTAACAATTCCTTATAGGAGAAAATTTATTTTACATTTTGGTTAGAGGGTTCCCTACCGTATCTGGATCTGGAAAAAGAAAAGTAAAGTAAAAACGTAAATGAATTGAATTCGAGATTTTTAGAAAAACCACATGTACTAACAATGTGATACAATTTTGGTCCAATTCTCAATATACTCATAAATTTACCTCTTTTAATTCTTTATTCTACAGGATTTTTAACATTACACTTTCAAAGGAAGAAATTAATAAGGAATTGACGATGATTATACAAATAATACACCAGTTTTCGTATCATGTAATGAAGTCAAAACATCCAGAACGTAAGTTGCAAAATGCCTAACATATTTCGGTAATATTTCGTAAATTGTTCGAGGGCAGGAATTTATCTATAGTGTTTAAAATAAACAATACATTAAAACAATTTATAATGAAAGTTAAGGGTCCACGATATTATTTTCCTAGATTCTTTGAACTGTGAGGATTGTAATGCACTTTATGTTGGACAGTCTTTCAGGAAGATCTCCGTCAGGGTTCATGGGCATCTCAGTTTGGTGAAAATAATACGAGGAAACTGAGGTGACAAAGGCCAAATATGCTTTCGCTACAAAAAGTAAAAAACTTGATCTTCTGGAGAAATTAGAAATCAATAATGCCAAAAAGAGCCATATCCTTGATTGCGTCAATAACGTTTGCAATTTTGAGCCGCCTTTTTTAAAAATATTTTTTACTTCTTAGCTGCAATATTTTTTATGTCATTTTTTAATCCCCGGTAAAATCAAACGAATTCAGTCTCATTCCATTTTGTCTGTAACAGAAGACCGAAAGTCGCCTTTTAAAACTTTATTTGTTGTATTGCGATTTTCTGACTGTTCCTAGTCACAGAACGGCCATGTTTCAACTCTGTTCCCTATAGCATTAAATCATACTCTGTTGATGTCCATTCCTTTTATATCACTAGTAATTTTCCTTGCTTATTTTACTTTTTATGTCTTCCTCTCAACATTTCTTATCACATTCTCAGTGGTAATGTTATGTATTTTTTTTATATGAAAGATTTGTTTGATATCTTGTTTTTTTGTTGTGATATTATATTGTCTGTAACTATACTGAGTTGTTAGATAATATTATTATTTCCTCTCTACACTATTGTCGGTCGTTTAGCTATTTTCAGAAAAGTTCTTGCATGATCTGTTTCTCCCTGGTTAGGTCTCATTCTACTTTCGGTGGTGTTACATTTGGTGCCCGTTTCCCCATGTATTGTTGTTCAACTCAAGCACCAGTTTCTCCTAGCACTTGCTTTAAATTTTTTTAATTTCCTTGGTGAGCCCTTCCGTCCGCACTTTGTAGTTTCTCTGAAATTTCTTGGTCCATACCTATTTTTCCTCTGATCCTAGTTAGTTTGCTCTTTGCTGCTAAAGTTATTTTGCTTTTCGACGAGATTTCCGATGTGCACCAATATAGCATGCGTCCACTTTTCTCGCTTCTTACTTTTGCTCTGTTAGCTGAGCTAATTTGAGCGAGGATAATATTATGGTCGCTGAGGGACTCCTCCCCCATTGTTTCCCATTTTATCATTCTCTTCGCGGTATCCGAATCGATTCTTTCCGTCATGTAGGATTACCGAGTTATGTTGAGCCAATTATGCGCGCAGTATGAGGCACTTTCATTTTCTCAACACAGGAAACATAGCGAACCTAACCATACACTAAATAAGAATATTACATTTACAGTCCAAGGATGGAATGAACATAGAATTTATTTCCCCCCATTGTTCATCAATGATAAAACTGTAGCGATATTATTTTTAAGTAATTTAAAACATGCTAAAAATCTGACCAACTAAACGTGTTCATTCGAAAACTGTTTATGTCTACACATGCTTTTTCAGCTCGTGTGGGCCAACACCGAATATCTGGGGTGCGGATATACATCTTACTCTGACGAAGAAATGATGGCGGACTATAAATACATTACCTGTCATTATGGACCAGGGTGACGAACGTAGTTTAAGTGATTTATCTATTTATACACGGTTTACTTTTAGAGGCAATATCTTGGACGAGTTACCGTACGAGACTGGAGAATCGGGATGCGAAAATTTATGTTAATCGATATGTGAGAATTTTCGAGGAGCACAAACAAAGAGATTACATATTGAAATAGAATGTATCTACCTATTCCAATAAAGTTCTTATATTGGTGGTATACAATGTCCTCTCTCTCTTTCTCTCTCTAGCTTCCTACCATTCTCGACTCACCTAGGCCAGCCTTGCTAGTGATGATGTCTCCATTCCCGCGATGAGATCCGCTCCCGTTCCACATGCCAGTCTTTGTTCCGGAGTTCATACGCGAAGGCACGGCAAACCACATCGCGACGAAGGATCTGGCCTCCGTGCGTTCGATAGCCTTGCTGAATGACATGGGCAGCAGTTTCCGGTACCACGCATCCAGCTTAGCATTGGACCTCCTGGCGTGCTCTCTGGTCCCCCCCTACTGACCCGCATATGGGACGAGAGTGAGTTACTTCTGAGCAGGTTGTATTGCAGGTATTCCCCTCTAGCCCGAAGACAGGCCAGGGAGGGGCCTCCAGCCTAACTATTGAAGAGAGGTGTAGTTCTATAGGTCTTCTGATTACTCCTCCCCGCCGCCACGGGACCCTACTCTAGCTCTAAGTGCGACAGGAAGTTGAAGTGGTTGAAACAAACATAACAAAAATAAGAGAGGGTGTAATGTTGGTCACCGAACCGCCTGCCTGTATTGCGGGCTGATTTTCAAGACCTTCACGACAGTCCGCTTACACGAAAGAAAGACAACCCCGCCGAATACAAAAAGGCGGACGAAGAGAAACTCGGGAAACCCGAAACTGATATCATCTCAATTATGGCAACGATAGAAACGGCTGCGCTTAAGAACGAAGTTGCCTCAGCCTTCATGACCACCATGATCTGGAGTTCCTCGCGCTGCCATTGAAATTTTGCGACTGGGCACTTTCAGCTTCTCGTTTGTATCCTCGTAATGTGCCCGTCATCGGTGCACACGACAGTCCGGACTTGGTGATAAACGGTCTACCGCACATGGTCCTGCAGTGTCCGGCCTCAGTGGTCCTAGTTCTCTAGCAACGGACAATCACCTGGAAGAGCCTTAAACCTTGTCAAAGGTCTACCCGCCCGCCGCGAGACTAGCGCGTTCCTCCGAGCAGCCAGTCATAGCAGGAGGAAAGGGCAGCGTGACGTAGAGCTCCATGCGCCCCCAACCCAAGTGGGGCACTTAGAACGCCCGTACACTTTAGCGAGTAATATACAACCCCCGAGAGAGTCAGTCGTAGTTAACCTGGCGGCTGTCTCGCTGCTATTCGTCCGGTCCTTCACTCACGAAAACAGCTACCAACTAAGAGCTTCTGACCAGGGGCTCCATTAATTTCCGCCGCATACACCTTAACCTCCGATCTCACCTAACCTAACTTAACCTTATTAGCACTTCCACTGGCTAACAAAAAAACTTGAAAAAAAAAAAAGGTAAAAGATAACAGGGAGGTAGACTCTTATTGAAGTATTAAATTAAGGGTGGTCAGACTATAATTGTACTCGGTGATTCACTACTCGAAAGTTGTTTAAAATTGAGCATTACATCCTACTTCTGTCCTGGCCACCCAGTTGGTGAGGGGGTGGGCAAAACGTAAGCAAAATTAGAGAGATTTTGGCTCCACCCGTTTTTCACCGGACGTAGCTCGTCGAATAGTGAAAAACTGATTATCACAAAACGGGAAAGGAGGAGTGTTGGCTACAAAAAAAAAGTCTAGGCCTTAAGTTAATAGCAAATGTCTATTGTTATTAAACCAAGTCTCCAAAAAAAAAAAGGGAAAAAGCAAAATTACGAGTGTGGTGTTATATAAAGCATAAGCTTCCAAAGTTATAAATAATCGGTTCAGCTTTACGTTCTTGAGCGCTCAATCCTTACATAAGCCGGCCGCATAACAGTCATGTAATACACAAAAGCTCAAAATCAATGAATCAATCCACTTTAGAACGGTATAAATTACACACAAATACCAATTTTTAATGCTGTTGCTCTATTTTCCTCTAGTGGATGTTAATCAGCATGACTGTCTAGAACATTCTGGAATGGACGGACCTCAGTTTCAAAGGTCGTCGAGACACGAACTTCACCTTTTCCCTTGAACGACCTTCTTGGAAGTATTGATAAAAGAAAATGCCTGTCGCTGGTTGTCCGAACAAACTTGTGCTTGTTATTTAATGCCTGGAAATAAAAGGCCTAAAAGAAAGCAAAACCACCCTAAGTACCCAGTTACATCATGCCGCGCCAGAAGAGACCATGTGATAGGGAACAAAAAGTGAAATTTCAAGATATTAACTGGTATAACGAGCTTACCAGGTTGTTAGTGACCTTCCTCGCTAGTTATCGGAGTTGTTTAAATTCGCTTTACCCAATATATTCAAATCCACAAAACGTGATATCATGCAAATCAACCTTAAAATATGGGTGCGAAACTCCGATGGGTTATATCCGCGTTAGCGTTCTAAATCAAAAATATTGAAAATAATAAAAAACACACAAAAAGATTTCATTGGTCGAGAAAAAGCATCCAACCGATTCGATATCCCTGGCGGTGACAGACGGTTGCAACTTTTCAATTTCGGGCGAATTGAACGTTATTGACTGGCATTTGACTTGCGATCGATTAAAACATTTTCGTGAATCAAAGATGATTTTTTATTGGGGAAAAATGCCAAAAATAAGTTCCTTTCCATTACCTTACGCGAGAGACTTTGAAAGTTCTAACCTTAATTGCGTTTGTTTACATTGTAGCTAAGATAAGTAATAATTAAATTGGGATTCCGATCGTTACCCCATTTTGAAAGTAGGACCAGTGATACCGAGACAAGGTAACGCAAGTGGTAATTTAAATTTGCTTCCAAGCGTAGTTAATGTTAAATATGTCAGCAATTTCGATTGGAAACCTCGATGTCGCCGGTGAAATTTAACACAACCAATTATTATGAACAAATGATTGAATTTGAAGTAAGTGCAAGGTGCAAAAATTGTACACTAGTTGAGTACCGATAGTATGCCCAAAACTGATTTATAAACATGCTTTCTATTCTTTTATTTTTTTAGTATTTTACTGGCGGATGCACCATTTGTGCTTAGAAGGACGAGAAGATGAGGCGTGAGCTGGAATATAGAGGAGATGAAACTAATTACTATCCCTATCATATTTGTATATATGCCTATTATTTGTACCTGTTAAAATTATGTTAATTAATACTGCTGGATTAAACTTAGATATTTAACTAAAAGAAACTTTCTGATTTGAGGTAAATCTAGCCTGTAACAACCTAACCTACACTTACTTACAGTAGAAAAGTTTTTGTGTTGTGCTGGTATAATTAAGTGTGCATTAACACCAGAAGAAATATGTTCACAATTTTTTATCGGTACATTAGAAGTTGAGATAGTTATTTTTGTACGGAGTATAACTGAAGCTGAAATTTGGAATTTATGTTCTTGTTGGAGTTATCAGGCAGTAAAATAAACCTGCTAAGGGTATCTTGCATTTTAGTTCTGTCAAAACACCTGCTAAAATATCATAAATGAATTGAATGAATATCTTATCAACAAAAATTTCCAGGTTTTTCCACTTTCCTTAACGGTTTACTGCTCAAATTTTCTATTTTCCGTTAATTTTTTTGACTATATTTCACCGTATAGATTGTTTAATTAGATAAACTAGATTAAATAACTAAATACCTAGCAATCAAAACCTTGCTGTATTTTGTAAGATATTATCCTCGCTTAATTATCAAAGTGTAATACTTTTAGAGTTTCACAGTTCACAAATTCAGCAAGTTATATGTGCTGGAACTATTGCTATCGATTATTCATCTCAAACATATTTTGCAATTACAGCACCGCTCGAGAGATGACGCTATAATCAAATCTGTCTTTAGTCATTATTGGAAAAATTAATGTGATTCGCAGTTACCCCATTTGAAATTCACTTTTTCGTCCCTTTACTCGAAAAAATTTAATAAAAAATAGTTTGCTACTACGTTGTTTATCATTTTTGATGTTTAATGTATAGTGGGGCCACCTATCCCCGGTTTTTGTAAATATATTTTTCACGATGGATTTGTTCAGTGATAAATTAATTTCCTACATATTTCACGAAACTAAGTTTAACAAATTTTACTGGATTCTTGGGATGATTCGCAGATGTCACAGCTACCACTCAATAGCAATATATACACAATTTTTTCAATGTTTTTTTAGTCCGAACAATATTTATATCAAATATTTGACAATTTGTTTAAATACGATTCTAATTTTTTTTGTTCTGGTTTTTATGAGATTGATGTCAAATACACACCCTCTTTGCAAAAATGAAACTAATTTCTCCATCTGTATCCACGAAATATTGCAAAGCAAAGAAGCGAATTAAAAAAATGACACCCCCATTAAATGTTACAAATTTATACACGGGGCATCTGGTTTCAAGTGAAACTCACATATTTTTTTCGAAAGTAATTTTTTTTTATTTTTCCAGTTAAATTATACCTTCAAGTACTTCAAATTATATATATATATATATATATATATATATATATATATATATATATATATATATATATATATATATATATATATATATATATATATATATATATATATATATATATATATATATATATATATATATATATATATATATATATATATTCTCACGTATTGATTCACGGATGGAAAAATGTGATGACACTATACTCCGGGATATCATCCGTTCGCTCGTTGAACTCCGACTGGAATCCTGCAAATCCTGCATCCGACTGGAATCCTGCAGACGTTTCGCCAAAATCTCACTTGGCATCTTCAATGGTCGCGCTCCGAAAACACTTCGAACAGTGTTCGAAAACACTTCGAACAGTGTTCGAAAACACTTCGAACAGTGTTCGAAAACACTTCAAAACCACCGCAGCCAAACTTAAGCAGAGAAGAAATGCAAGCCTTAAGGAATCTAAACAAAAACGAAAACATTCTAATAATGCCAGCAGACAAAGGAAATGCCACAAAATTGGAGGATATTTTGAACGACCCAATATACAAACTAGTCACCAGAGATCCCACGACATATTTGGAAAAAACAACTAAGTCCAAAATTCTCGATTCATCAATAAACGAGGATACAAAGAAGAAACTTATTCCGAGGGAAAAATCGAGTCGTTGCCCAAAATTCTACGGGCTCCCAAAGATCCATAAGGACGGGGTTCCCCTGCGTCCAATCGTAAGCGCCTTTAACTCACCATTATGCAAGCTGGAAAAACATCTGGCCAGTGCACTTCAGCTTATAGTGGAAAAGGCAGATTCCTATGTTAAAAACTCAGAACATTTCACTCAGATTTTACGTTCTCTCAGGATGGACAAGGACGACATTATGGCAAGTTTCGATGTCAAATCCCTCTACCCGAGTATTCCAGTAGAAGAGGCACTCTTGCTTATAGAAGAAAACGAAGATCTTCCGCCATACATAATGGATCTGTCAAGACATTGCCTGAAAAACGCTTACTTTATGCACAACGGGAAAATTTACAGACAAATAGATGGAGCAGCAATGGGATCATCTCTCTCACCTGTGATTGCCAACCTCTTCATGATTTACTTCGAAAAGAAAGCAATAGAGAAGGCAAATCTGAAGCCAAAACTATGGACAAGATACGTTGATGACGTATTTGTTGTATGGCCTTTTGGCAAGGAGGAGCTTTTGAAATTCCTAGATCATCTGAATTCCATTCACCCAAGGATTCAATTTACATTAGAACTTGAAGAGGATAACAGTCTGCCCTTTTTAGATGTGCACATCACAAGGACCGAAGATGGACACTTGGAACACACTGTCTATAGAAAACCAACACACACTAATAGATATCTGAACGCTAAATCTCATCACCACCCATCACAGACACAGGCAGTGGCAAATACATTAATTGCTCGGTCCTTCAGGCTCACAAACGAGAGGAACAGAGATAAAGAACTGAAGAAAATTAGTACCTGTCTTCAACAAAACGGATACCAAAGGCGCACCATCAGCAAGGCAATCAGTAAACAACAGCCGCAGCAGAGAGTGCAGGACGAGACCCAACGAAGATCGATCGCTGTCCTGCCATACATCAAG